TGTTTTTGTGTTGTTTTTTTTTTTCCTTTTTTTCTGTGTGTGTGTTTATTTGGGTTTTTTAAAACAATTTTATGATTGGATTAATTCATTGGTCCCAGACTCTTAAGTGATCAGTCCAAGTCCCTCTGCCTTGCAGCATGGCTTAGCTGCTGAAGTGACCACCCTATTTATAGGAAAGCACTTGAGTAGTTCTGAAGAGTTTCCCTTTAAGGCCTTCAAAATATGATGGAGGTAAGCAGAAATCATATTGCTCTATGTAGAGGGTGCCTTAATCCTTATGCTCTTGAGCCAGGCAGAATTGGTAGTGCCTAGGACTGTCTCTTGAGTATTGTCCTAAAAGGTGTGAATAATAGGTAGTTTTTCAGTTCCAGTTTTTGGTTTGAGTTCAGCTTTAATCACCCTCTGTCCAGTGTCTTGAAAGTTTAAAAGAATTTTTGAAATACCATGTGGATAATTAACACTGATCTGGGAGAGGAGCCTGCATTCTTTAGTTCGAAAGATACGATATGTTTAATAGAAATTGGTGTTAGATGAACTTACTGTAAACATGGTCATTTTTCTAGATGAGTTATGAACATGACACAGGTTAACTTGTAGTTGGATCTTTTGTCTTTCTGTGGGAGTATAAGGGACCATGTCGTTACAGATGAAGACTGATGCACTAGTGATAGTTCATTCGAGAGCCTGATTGATATAAAATATCATTGACTTTTTTTTGGAAGAAATGCTCCAGAAGTTCAGTGTGCATGAGGTTCCATTTGGTTATAGATTGACATCTGTAGGGGGGAGACACTCCCCACCTGTTGAAGAACTTGAAATGGTTCCTTGCTAATTTTTATACTTCACTTTTTTTTTGTGGTATTGTACCTATACTATGCATGTACATTTGATAAAAATGGATTTGCAGCTAGAAGTACAACAGTCTTGTTCTACATGGAGGTATTCCAATTTCCAGTACTGAAGCAATAGAATATGCACAGAAGTAGATATTTCAGTGAAACAAAAGCTACCAAGTAAAGTATGGGATTTATAGCAAATTGTCTATATTTGTTTCATAGCTGAGAAAAATATATGTTCCCTCTACCTGAAATCCAGCTTTACAGCTGAAGTGATCAGATTTATTGGGGAGAAGCATATAATTTCAAAGGTGTGTCTTTTTCCACTTCTGTCCTCTCCTTCATCCTTATCAGAAGTATACATTACACCTGAAACGTGCATATGAATTTTAGCCTGGGAATATTTTTTCTGCATGGAGGAGCTTGTACCTTTTGTGGAACTACGGTGTTCTGCCAGCGGTCTTTAGCAGAAAGCTTTGCAAAGCTACGTCTGCAGCTTTCCTTGGTGCAGTTACTGTGCAGTGGTCTGCTTTCCTGACATAGTTCTGTGTCTTGGGAAGTCAAAAAGCAGACAAGTTGGTGTAGCTTGGTAAAGGGAAAGAAGCACTCTGAATTTTAAGTTCCTCTTCCAGTTCTTGTCCCATATAGAGTAAAAAAACCCCAAAACTATGGGAATTTTGGGAAGTAAACCAGTGTAGCAGTTCTTTCTTTTCACCCTCTGCTTCTGTTTCCTTTTAATTTTTGACTATCCTGTAGTATAAATGGTTTCACTGTTGCCTGTGATATGGAGGATGTCTGCTGCAGCTTAACTGAAGGCATGCTGATCATAGCCAGAGACCCTTTCTATAATTTACAAGTACCTGAGAGCCAGAGAGCCTTTTACTTTATAAACAGATCCTGCTTTATAAGAGACCCTTCTGTGAAACAGGCTGCTAGGACATATTATTAGAAAGGTGCTTGCTCACAAACTAGGTATTTTTCAAAGCATGCTTGAAAATCGGCGCACTGTTTAAGTGTTCTTGTTTGGTTGTTTTTTTTTTTTTTGTTTAGGGATTTTTAGGTTGTTTATTTTTCAGTACTTCGGTGAGAAGCATACTGCAAATGTTATGATTCAAAAGTTACCCCAAAGGAGTATGAAGAAACTCACACTGGAAAAATTTTGCCTCTAGTTTTAGTAATTTCCATACTACTACAGTTTCAGCGAAATTATCATGTTAGGCCTGGGTGCATTTGCTAGTGTTGAATCCTTTTTGTGCTCCCAAAAATGCACTCTTGGTAATTCCTCTTTTCCCTCCCTGTCTGTCTATGTCAGTCTCTTCAGTTTTCGGCACATAAGCATCAAATGAATGTGCAGCTCAACCACTGGAGAAGTACAGGTGCTAAACCACAGCCAGACAAGGTTGCTGCTCCGTGCTTGGCAGGAGAAAACTAAAAAGATGAGTGGAGGGTGTGCTGTGCAGGCTGCAGCAGTGGTGGATAGCCTTGCTGGGGGTAGGACAAGACCCAAACACAGGGACGGGACCCACGCTTGGTGCTTGCTCAGCTTTAGCAGTACTTACATTTATTTTCTCCGCTGTCCTCATTCCCCTCCTGGAGCAACCCCTCTGCAAACTCTTCCTGGCAGAGGTGAGACAGGATGGGGTGACCCATCAACCACAGCGTTGGCTTAGGGTGATGTAGGTGTGGGGTTGCTGTGCCCCTGTGATGCTCTCACAGAGGGGGCCAGGCTACTTGGGCTTTGTTTTGGCAGGTATCCTGATGACCATGCTATGCTTTTCTTCTCTTTGCTTCTTAGCTCTGGCTGCTCCTTGTCATAATTAAAGTTTTAGTGATGGGTAGTTTAGAGAAGTAAGGTGTTTTTTTCTTTGCACAGTTAAAGGAGGAAACTTCTTAATAATTGGTAAGCAAAATGGAAATTGTAAGCAGAAGTAAACAGCGAGAAGAGGAATTGGTTTCTTGGTCAGTTATTCAGGAACAGAAAAAGGAAATAATTTTGCACAGGCTAAGACACAAAACCAAAATTTTGCAGCTACTTCTAGACTTTTATACATTTCTTCATGATTTCTGAAAAAAAACTCTTTCACAAATCAGATGTTCATCAAGTATCCTCTTGGGATTTTGGTAGCACTTACTGTTAGTTGACTTTTTTCCACTACTTCAGTGAAATGAAAAAGAAATCTTTCTCCTAGCTCTGTCATCAAGGGAAAACATGCACAGCACTTCATATTTCTTCTTTTTCTTCTCATAATGTCTCAAGGCTTTTGAAATTTGAAAATTAAACCTTTTTTGTTTTGTTTTGTTTTCTACATCATTTGATGCTATCTCACTGGCTTTAATCCAACTGTTTTGAAGATCGCACACTGAAGTTGTTTCTGGTTTTGGTGAGCACAGATAATTTGCTACCTTTTATACTTTTGTGAATGTTTGTGTCTTTTTCTTGCAGTTACAGGAGAGCATTTAGCATTTCCTCATATTGTGTTTATTATTAGTTGCAAAATGCAACTCTGCATGTTAAATACATGGGTGTAATATCTGGACATGTATTTGGCTGGGAAGCAAACTGGTGCTGAATAACATCTCACTGTGCACTTTTAAAACATATTGTCTCCAACTTCTGCTTGGCTTGGAAGAGGTCATCCACAGTGTATGTGAGTGCAAGGAGGAAGTACCTGATGTAATCATTTTCTTCCCTCTTGGAGGGTTTTTGATACTGTTCTGTGTGAGCTTCTTACAAGTCCTAGATCAGAAGGTGGTTATGCTGCTGCTTTGTTGTGCCATACTCAAATTGATTAGCTGTGCTTTGTTGTCCAAGTGAGAAGGCATTTCAGAGGAGGACTTTGTAGGTTTCATTTTATTGTTTCCATTAATTATGTAGGTGATGGACTGGACAATGCAACTATAAAAACTGCACATGGTGCCAAGGGCAGGCAAAACTTTTGGAAGCTGAGAATAGTTCTTTTTGTGTTGGGTTAATGATGAAGGAACAAAAATACAACAGGTTGGAAAAATTAAATGTGCAAGGGGAAAATGTAGTGCAGAAAACTTCCTAGATACTCCAGTGACAGAAGCAAACATGGTAAAACCTTTCCTTGCTGTCTGCCATCCTTCGCCATAGGAAGTTGTGTCTCTGCAGGACATACACTATAGGAGAAGTGAATATAAAGCTGTGCCTGAATTCCTCTTTGCAGGTGCCATAAACCAACTCTTGAGTTATTTTAATATGCTCATTTGAAAATCAATCATGGCATTTGGGTAACTTTTTCATGCATAGCTTCATTCTGCCTGCTGAGGGGGGTGGGTAGTGAGAACGGCCAGCATCTCCAGCAGGCCTTCAGACTGGAGAGCCTTTTGAGGGGGCACCAATTGCTCCAGCTCTCCAAAATGTTTGCCTCTATTTATGTCAAGTGCTGACTTACAGTGTGATACTGCTGGAAGCTTTCTTGATACAGTGGTGTGTATGCAAGATGCAGGAGGTGATTCTCCACTCGTCTTACGGCTGAGACTAGTAGTGAGCATCATGTCTAGTTTGGAGTGTCATACTGAAGATAAACTGGAGAGATTCCAATTCAAGCTCAAGAACAACGAGTTGTTTGAAAAATATGACCCATAAGGAAGAGATGAAGCGAGAGAAATCATTGAAGAGTGAGCAACCACACACTTTTCAGTCTGTTGAGCATTAGCATCAAAAACACCTGTGGCCGATTGTGCTTCATGTTCCATGGAGCAGGATTAATTTCCAGCAAGAAAGTTTAAGATTGTGGTGGTTGGCTTGTTTGTTTGGGGTGGTTTTTATTTTTTCCCCTGTAAGAATACTAAACAAAAATAGTGGAAGAGGCTAGCTAGGGAAGTTGTTTCATCTTGGTCATGGGAGGTTTTGAAGAACAGGTTAGGCAGACTCCACTTATGGCATATGTGTGTGTATCCAGCTTCAGAGCAGGGCTGGAGCGGTAACTCCTTAAGGTGCCCTCAGGTCTTTCCACTTCAATGCTGTGGTTATATACATATATATATATATGAGGCAAAACCAGAAACACAAAGAACTCAATATGCTTTTGATCTTCTAATCTCGTTTGCCTTTCAGATTTTGAGCATCTGTAAATCACAGCATAAATTAGGGGAAGGAAGGTTATCATTACATTCTGTATTGTAATTTTATGGCTTCAGATGTGAAAAGACTTGTAGGCTACAGAAGTGAAAGCTGGCACTTATTCTCTTTTCCCTCCTTTTTCTTTTCAGGCCGCTTGGTGGGTGCCCTGGACGCTGTGTTAGACTCTAACGCACGCGTCGCTCCCTTTCGAATCTTGCTGCAGGTTCCAGGCTCACAGGTTTACTCTGCCATTGCATGTGGTGAGTTATTGAACGGATCAGAAGTTTACTGGGCCATAGCTATTGGTGAGTCACAGACAAAAAAAAACCAAAACGGTTCTGAGCATGGTCAGTGTCTGCATGTTCAAGAAGCTCAAGGTAACCCCAGCTAGCAGTGTGTGCGTGTGGAGAGCTATTGCCTGTAGCTTGTTTAACAACCTGTTAACCTCTGGTTAAAATCCCAGATAGGAATTAAGAGAAAGTGTTGACTAGGAACATTAAAATTCTATAGTAAGCTTGTTTAGCTGAAGGTATTTTGCATTAATTTTCTGTCTCTTGCAAAATAGTGTGGTTCTGTTCATATACGTATACGGTAGTAATAGTTCCTTGCAATAAGAAGCTGCTCTAAGCTTTCACCAGTCTAGTCTTTCACTTGCTTACTGTGAAATGTCTTACCACACTTGGTTATAAACCAATAAAACTGGAACATTTGGAAGATGGCACATGATTTAGGAGGTAAAGTTGTCAGGAGGGAACGTCTTAATTGCCTGGTTTGTTGTGCAGTAATCCCTTTTGGAGTGTTTCTGCAGCCTCTGAAGATCAAGCTCATCTTCAGGAAAGTGATACTGATGTGAATTACAGCAACCTTACCATGACACAGAACAGGCCATCTGAATGTGCTTGTTCCATTCATCTTGTTTGTGCTTGACCAGTCCGCAAGGCTGTTCTCATCCCATCTGCTCCAGTCTGTAAAATCCTAGCACTGAAATTACAGCAGTAATAGTTGTGCTATTTTTGTTTGTTCTGTTTAAGTTTTCTTTTGCAATTGCAGAGCCCCCTCCTTTTTTTATTTAAATAATGCCATCTCATGGAGGAATTTAAGGGCTTCATGCTGTTACAGTACCCTGATGAAGCCAGGTAGCTTTCACTGAAAAATAATCTCAGGATTGCCGTCATGGGCTCTTGATCATTTGAGTATATGTAATATTACTTTCTGGGGCTGCTCTTTCTTTGCCCTGTCCACACTCTTACTGCCCATAGGTGGTTTTTGTGGATGTTTTTTTTATTTTTGTTTTTTTTTTATATTAAAGGAACTACAAACCAAAAACTTGCCTCGTTGGAATGGTTAAGAATAAGAATATCGCTGAGACAAACCTATTTGATTAATGTTTTCTGAAATTCTCTTTGGCCCTTCTGAATGGATGCTCACCCCTGAGGAAATGAGATTTATGGTACCAGAGTGGAGAGCAGAGGGCTCTGTTCTGTATGCAGCATGTGTAGGACATGCCCAGTTGCCAGAGCTGCACAGAAATTAAGAACCATGGCAGCAGAAGTCATTTCCTAATAATATCGCTGCTGTGAAGCCCTGACATGAGTGTCCAGGGGAGAGCTGGCCCTGGCAGTAGGAGTCAAACACAGCATGAGCAAGCTGGAGGACTTTTCTGGAGAAAGCTGGAGGAGTTTCTCTGCGCTGAAGCAGCTGTCAGTGCCCACCCAGCTCTGCCCCAGCTGAGCCAGCTGCTTCACACAAACACAACTTTGAGTTTTGTTACTGGATTTGGAAACAGCAGTGAGTCAAATTAAGGTTCCTGTGATATAGCAAAGACCAGGAGCAGCTCCAGGAACTCCTTCCAGTCTCCTGGTGTAATTTTGTTAGGAATGGCCATCACATCATTAGGCAGTTAATTAAAATGACATTTTTAATTGTATGTTAGGAGTCCCGTTCCTGGAGCTGTAGGCTCAAATGATGATATATGTGTAAGGGTCAGATCTGTGTTACAGACTTTTGCAAATCTCCAAGGGCTGCTAGGAAGTCTGATCCCTGCCCAGCGTGGCTGTTCTGGCAGAGATGTTTTAATCCAGATGGTTAATCATGTTATACCAGTACAGGAAAAAAAAAAAGAAAAACTAATAACCTCAGCCCTAGTGTAGTGCCACTTGAGATTTTCCTTTCAGAAGGCTTGTGGGCAAAATAGAAACTCAAGTCCCAATCAAGTGAAGTAGCTTTTGGGAGAGGGAGAGCAAATGGATTAGTGAGAAGTGAGTTTAAAGAAAGGATTAGGAGTGGGGAGGAGTTGGGAGTGGAGGAGTGAGGTTGTGGTTGGACCAAGTATCCATTTGGTACAGGCACATGAAGAGCGTGGGTAAAAGGTGGAATAAAATGCTGTGCAGAGCACATACGAAGATGGAAAAGGAAAACCTTGGCAATGCTGGGGTCAAATCACAGGATGCCTTTAAGCCATGAAGTGGAAATGAGAAATAAAGAAGGGACCTGAAAAGCTGAGGAGTTGGCCTGGCCAGACAAAAGTGGCAAAGGGATCTCTCATTGTTTGAGCAGAACCCCTGGAGAACCCTGAAGGCAGGCAGGGAAGGTTGCAGTATCTCCCTGTGAAGATAGCCAGAGCTAGAGCCCAGGCTCTGAGCAGTCTGAGCAGTGTGGCTTCTGCTGTGAGAGGCGTCTTGCTCATGGCTTATTTCACAGGAGGCAGCCATCAGCTTGCCCCTGTGGTCGGTATCTTCAGGTTGCTCAGAAATACAAATTCAACTCAGTATTTACTTTGTAGTCATTTCAATATGAAATGACTGTATTTCTGGTGTTCTTAACCACTCATGTAATTAGTTTCCTTTACCTAAAGGGTGTTTAAGTGTATCTTCTTTTGTGATTATTTTTTTATTTTTAATTTCACCTTGGTTAATGATATTTATGAAGTTCCATCACAAGACCTTCCTGTGAAGGAAGTTAAAGCTTGGAAAATTTCTTTGCTATTTGGCATTCTGCATGGAAAACAGAGCAGAGGAAAGTGGAAAATCCTGAGCTAAATTTGTCATTTTTTTTGTTGTTGTGAGGCAACAACGTGATGCATCTCTATTGTACACACAAATCATCTCTTGAGATAGTGAGTCTTCTGTTTGAGATTCATTTTGTTACTATGTTCATCTGAGATTTATGTGTCTCTTATGTCCAACTACTTTTCTCCTTTCTTCCACTAGCGAGGCATTAGGAAAAGCAACTTTTGCTGACTTTACTTTTTTATCTGTAACGTTTAATCACTGACCAGTGTGATCTGGAGGGGCCAGATTTTCCCCCGATTGCCCTGTATGTTGCTCATCTTATTCTGACCTTTCTGTCATTGTATGATGCAGTGACAATTCAGTTTCAAGCAGAAAGAACCAAAGTAAGTCGGTGGTGACTGAAATATTATTTCAGGAGTTACTGTGGACACACTACATTTAAAAGAACAACAGCAAAACCCTCAGATAAACCCTTAGAGGAGGAAGCCTTAAAGATCTGAAAACCTGTATTTGTCAAAGATTTTCTGTTCACTGTATTTCTTCCCTGAACTGCAGAAGTGTGCTCTTGTAGACCCTTTACATGTTGCTGAATCAAACTCTTTTATTTTTAGGTACTTTAATTATTATGGAGAGCTTTTCAAATAGAATGCAGATTATGACCACACATATTCCTCTCAGGGGCTGTGTTTGTGGAGTGTGTGTGTGTGTGCATGCAGTATGGAGGGAGGGAGGAAGATCAGGGACTTTTGGGAACAGGATGTAATTTAAAGGTTTCCATTGGCCATTTAAGGAACATCATGTCAAAATAAGGTGCAGTCTGGCAGCTCAGGAAGAAGTGTTGCTGGTTTCTCTGCTTTGACTTTTAATGCAGCATCTGCTGGCTGAGAGTGTTTGAAAAATTAAAACTAAAAGCACTAAAACCAATTCTCTAAAACAATGAGGTTTTTATTTTTCTCTAGCTGTTCTGCTATGAACAAGGCCTTTTTGACCTGTTTACTACTGAGAATTTTGAGGTTAAAAGTTCAGTTTCTCATATTGAATTTATGAAATAGTGCAGTTTATTACTTTTTTCCTTCCTCTCAATTTTATTTTGTAGGGTGAGTTTCAATACACTACTTTTTGCTTTTCTAGGTGCCACTGCAGAGGAGATAAACCAGCACTGGGAATGGCTGGAACAAAACTTGCTCCATACTTTGTCTGTGTTTGACAATAAAGAAGATATTGTTAGTTTTGTCAAAGGGAAAGTGAAGGTAAGGAAGCTGTCTTATTTTCACCCTCCCCTGCCTGATTACATGTGATTTATTAGAAATAATGTAATGGAGTTATCATTCATATTTGGTTTTGTCCACCTAAATTTAATATATTGGTTTTCTGTGTGGCCAGCATCTTTACTCACATTTCTTTGGAAACATCTCAAAAACAAAGTGGAATGATAGAATGGTTTGGACTGGAAGGGACTGTAGAGCTCATCTAGTTCCAGCCCTCTTGCCTTGGGCAGGGACACCTCCCACTAGACCAGGTTGCTCAAGCTCCATCAGCTTGGTCTTGGACACCTCCAGTGATGGAGCATCCACAACTTCTGTGGGCAACCTGTGCCAGTGTCTCATCACTCTCATCTTTATCCCACCCATCTCTTTATAGCTTCACTGTTCTTTTCTTGCCTGTGGTGTGTGGCTGAGCTTTCTTCAGTATCTGCTTACAGTTCCTCTGCCTCTCTAAAACATTATTTTAAATACCTTCCCTTCCTGTATCTCAGCTTTGCCTCCTTACTATGTTTGTCCTCCTGTCTCCCGTGTTCTTCCTGGCTTTATCCCATCAGTTTCTTGTGTCCATTACCATACTCCTGTCCCTTTTGATGGGGCTCAGAGGTGTCAGTAGGTGATAACCTGTGCAGAGGATGCCACAGTCCCCACAGCACAGGGACAGAGGCCAAAGGCCGTGCACAAGGACACCTTCATCGTGAGGATCAGCACGGAAACTGCTGATGGCTTTGCAGGATGTGGGAGTCGTGGCTGGGCACTGCAGTGGAGCTGCTGGCTGGCTGCAGGCTTCCAGAAATGATCACCCTTTTGGAATTTTAAATTTGGTGATTGAAGACCAGATTCAAAATAATAATGGCATCTGTGGTAAAGCTTGGAAAGCCTGGAGTGCTGAGCTGTGGTTCTAGTAAAATACACCCCATAAGAGGAGCCTGGTGATGGCTGGCAGGGGTGCAGGTCACTACATACCTCAAGTCCTGCTGCAGGCTTTTCCTTGCTGGGAGTTATAGTGAGGTGCTTTTCCCACCTTTTTTGGTCTGGAAAATCTGCAGGAACCTAATGTTTTGGGTGATTTTCAACCCTTCTGCTGTGGTTTCAGTGGGCTCTGAAGTTCAGAAAGAAGGGAATGGAGAGGCAATCAATTACTATGTAAATCTTAGTTTTTATCCTGCTTTCTTAAAAAACCAACTTTGTCTAAGTGCACTGAAAGGCTCAAATAAAATTAATCACTCTTGCTAACGCTGTGGCAGCCTGTGACCTACCACAGCACATACTTAAAATTCTTCATGTTTTATTAGTTAATGTGACATCCAGGGTTTGGACCATCACCTCTGCTGTAGATTTTTGGCATATTAGAAGCTCGTGGTATTTGCAAATTATTCCAGGTGCTGTAATGTGCAGATTATTTGTCTCAGTGGTGCAATACATACTTAACTCCTTTGTTGTAATACCACCATTAAAATTCTCAACACTTAATTGTGTTTATGTAGGTGTTCTTGAAACCATGCTTTTAATGGTTCCAAGCACCTTTCAAGTTACTGACACATCTCACTGCATTGCCTCTTGATAGAAAAGTGGTACTAGTTGGTAGGCACAATTGTTACTCTACATTTGTTCTGTGTATACTAACAGCAATCATAAACCGTAGTGAAGCTGTAAATATGATTCTGCCAGACTCGTTGAAAAATTTATGTTTAAAAAAAGGCCCCAAAAGTCTTGATGTGGAGACACTCAAATTATATGAGAGATGCGAACAGCACAGAAATTTCTCCATTTGTGAAAACTGCAAATCAGCTTGAATTCCTTTGTAAGAAAGAATTGCACTAATAAAATTTGAATGGGTAGCTTTTAACAACTTGCTCAAGTGTGAATGTCAAAGCTTTATCCTTATATATTATCTTGTTATGGACTTAGGCACTGATTGCGGAGGAAACGAGCAGCAAGCTTGCTGAGCAGGAGGAAGACCCTGAGAAGTTCCGAGAGGCCCTGGTGAAATTTGAATCCAGATTTAATTTTCCTGAAGCAGAGAAGTTGATCACCTATTATTCCTGTTGCTGTTGGAAAGGGAAAGTTCCTCGGCAAGGCTGGCTTTATCTGAGCATCAATCATCTCTGTTTTTATTCCTTCTTCCTTGGCAAAGAATGTAAGTCTAAATGTGTAAGAAATCTAATGCTGAAAAACAATATAAATAACTATATTTAATAGAATAGCTAAAATTTTTATTAAGAGACCATTTCTCCTGTGAAGTTTAATTTCTGAGGTTTTTGTTGGGCAGCTGAAAGATCCTGTTTAATTTAGTTTTCACTTCAGCCTTTATATTTTAGTATGAATCCAGTAATAAAAGCGGGACTGTAAGAGCATGCAGACACAGCTGCTATCTGGTTCATTTTCTTGCCATGGTGAAGTAGCCTTAAAATGCTACAGAACCTCCTGCATATTCTGAAATAGAGACTTTTAGTGCTGAAAACTGCGAGGAGTAAGGACCGGTTCCTCCCGCAGGCCAGGAAGCAAAGTCATCACTGCTGGGTGGCAGGGGGAGGGCCGGGGATGCCAGAGTCCAGCTGCTTGCCTGAAAATAGCCCAGGAAACATAACAGGGCTGTGCCCTGGAGAACCAGGTGAAAATCCAGAGGTTTTAAGGAAAAGCAACAGTAATTTAGGGTTTTCCTTAGGTTTCTGAACTGCAGTGCAGGAAGGTCACAAGAAATGTGTCCCAGAGTTTTTGGACCTTCGTACAGTTCAGTGAGTTCTAAGACTTTGGTCATGGTCTTCCTCTACAGAGGAAGGATTGTGTGATAATGAAAAGCCTGTCAGACTAGATATTAGAAGGTAAAAATGAATGTAATAGATATTAGATGGTGAAAGTGAAGATAGCCATTTAAACTCTATAGCATTTCTCTGTTTAGTAAAACTGTGCATGAGCTAATAACATTTTAAATCCTGTTTATCCTGTTGGAACTTCAGCAAGAAGAGTAATATAAATCTATACTGCTATAAATATAGCAAGAATTGTCAGTTACAGCAATTAAGAAACCTTTACCATTTACTGTCTGGATTTAATATTGGGACAGCTAGTCAAACAAAACTGTAGATTTAAAAATTAAGTATATTAGTGTAATGATAAGAAAGATAATAATTGGTAATTTTTAAGACTTAAAATACACCAAGACATGCTTAGAGTTAGAGGTTCTTTTTTCCCTTATATTATTTCAGGCCAATTACTTTGTCTGCAAAAGATGGCAAAGTTAGATTTCAAATGCTGGTAAGTCTGTTACTTGTTATAAGAACAAAAGTTGAGTTTTGCTCAGCAGACTAGAATGGAGTCTTTTCATACTTACTGGATATTTGAGTTCTTGTTTCATCTCCTTGTTTTCTGGTTAGTATTAAATAATATTCTTTGTCAATCATTTTTCTTGCTATCGTTGCAGGCTTTCTCTAATTAAATCTGAGATACCCAGTCTGCCAAAGCACACAGAGCAAAAATGACACTTATTAATGAGAGATAATGGGGGAGGGAGAGAGAAAAACCCTTTATCTTGTTCCAAAAATTTTGTTTGTGCAATACCACCGATCATTAAATGATACTGGAAATACAACATCATGCTGTATTATTTAAGAAGAAATTGCTTCTCATCTCTTTTACTAATAATCCATTTTGAAAATACAAAAAAAACCCACAAACAACTACATGTTTGTAACTTTCCATTTTGACCATAGAAAATATACTCTTCGATCACTGTTGCAGGCAGTTGCATTGCCTTTGTGTTCCCATGCATTTGCATGGAAATGTGAATATGAGAACATGATTTTTCTTTTGGTTAAACAAAATTCCCTAGCTCAGTGGGAAGCATTATATATTAAAATATTTTCCATTTCCTCGATTCTGATAAAGCAGATTGCTTCTGTTTCAAAGCTAGTACTTTGTCACATATATAAAATGCTTGTATTACATTGAGTAATCCGGATTTAATACAGTTCTTCATGTTACTGTTTGAGAAGCTGATTCTTATTATATGTCAAACTAGTGATTCATTGAGGGTTTTTTTTTTCAGGTAGCCAACACAAATTAAATCTGTTTAAATCTGGTCTTGAAAATACTGCTAAGAAATCACATTTATTGCATTCTTAATACAGCACGGGGGAAAAAAAACTAATATATGAGTTGCAATAAAAATAGTTCTTAAATGTGTTTTAACTTGATAAAAATCCCCCCTGAAATCTCTTTATATGTAAAGCATTAAATCTTCTGCTTCTGGCAAGTCTGTCTCCTTCCCCTTGTTTTATTTAATGTTGAAATGACCTGGAATGCAATACTGGAACCTGTTTTCAGCTTCTCATAAAATTAAGTTACGGCTTATGTGAGCGTAAACTCCATGGAACATTTTTTCCAGGACAAGTCCCCTTTTATCTAAGCCTCAAAGTATTTGCAGAATTTCAGAGGCTTAGAACGTCCGATTTCTCGAAAGGGCGTGCCAAGGATTTTTTTTTCACATTTTTTAATTAAACTTGTATTTTTCTAAAACTTAGAAGACTTTGTACCTTTCATCGGTAGTTTGGGCCCCTTACAGTCTGCTGTGCTGTTTCTACAGCCAACACTGTAGAGCCTATGTGATTGTGACCTGTGTGAACAATAGTGCTATTGCTGTGGTGCTGTTTAATCTGCCTTCCCTTGGCTGTGCCCGTCCAGATGATTTTATGACTGTTTGCAACAGTTTGTGTGTGTTGACGCAGCTGTGCTTTATTTAAGGAAGAAAAAATGTAATCTGCAGATAATCTTGACAGCTGTGGTTCGTGTAGTACAGAGAACTTGCTTGAGAGTAGCTGCTTAGGTAATTAATAATCATGGATCAGTGTCATATATATATATGACAATGTTTGTTGTTTCATTGCTTTGTTGGCATCAGGAGAGCAGCTAGGGATGTTAGGAGGTGTAGTCTTGGTGTTATTGGCATGGAGAATCCTGGGAATCTTTGAACAGTTATTAAGAAGAAATTTAATATATTTTAAGACCTTTCCAGCACAATTTCTACCCAGAGATTTGTATGAAAGAGGCAAATAGCATCCTGCAGTGGTTATCTAAAGTAAGCTGATTCTGTTTACTGATTGTATTTATATGATTCAGCAGCATTTAAGTATAGTGAAGAGTGTCGTATAATTTCTCTTTTCTATAAACAAGTCTCACTACAGTTTAAAGCAAGGTTTGCCTGTACACCTTTTTAGTAAAAAGCAACCAAAATGGGAAGATCCCAATGCCTAGGCAGCTTTTTTTTTTTTTTGAATGCCCAGTTTATAGTCATAATTAAGCTTTATAAAAATGTCCATGTGCAAAAGCTTCCTTTTGCAGGGGAGTTAGCCTTATTTTAAAAATTAAGGTACTGTGCAAGCAATCAGGTTTCCACCTCCCTGCAGTTTTGTTTCTGGGAGGTTGCAAAGCCTTTCCCTATTATCTTTGTATTCTTGACATGAACTGTTTCTTGTGGTGGTTGCCTAGGCAGCTGCAGAAATGACTTGTAAAGGAGTTAGCTGCACAGCTTACGGCAGGTGTTCCGCAAAGGCAGGACTCCCCAGTCCAGCACTTATAAAATAAGTAAAATTTTGAGGGAGAGGTTCTAGAAAATACAGTCCTTTGGCGTGGAGGAGAATGAATGTAGAGAAATAACAGACATTTCAGCTTTTGCTTGGTCTTTGTTTCTCAAAATGTGTCTCTCTCCTATTCGGTTGCTTGCATTTCATTCTGAATGAGCTTATTTCCCAAATATGAAAAGTAAAAGTGGTTTCCAACCCACTGTTGTTTTTTTCTCTGATGGCAGTGAAGCTTATCATTCCTTGGGTTGAGGTCCAGAAGCTGGAGCGAACCTCCAACGTCTTCCTGACGGACACGGTGCGTGTGAGCACTCCGCACAAGGAGCGGGACTTCTCCACCTTCCTCAACATCGCCGAGGCTTTCCGCATCATGGAGCAGCTGGCCGACGTCACGCTCCGCAGGCTGCTGGACAACGAGGTCTTTGAGCTGGATCCAGGTCTACAGGATCCCACTCAGATTACCAAGAGGTAAAAAGCTAAGTGGTTGTATGAGCAGAGGTTTGATGGTGGGCTTCATGGTTTGCTCTGTTAGCTGGGCAAGATTTCAAAGGTTTACTTGGTTGGGTGCAAAAGAGATTATGTACCATCATTTATTGTGGTGTATCCAATAGATACAGTTCAACTTCTGTGCAAGACATCTTTTCCCATTTTATATTCTTGCCTTAAATATCACTGTGGTTTTTTGTTTGTTTATTCTAAAAGTACCGTTCCCCTGTAGAAGGGTAGATTGCAGAAGGGGATACTTTCCATCTTCCCTGAAGTGGAAGGAAGGTGTGCTGCTGTGGGAAAAGGAAAGGGAAACTTTCCAGAGGAATTTTAGGTGAGCAGGATGGAGTAGCCCAAACTGGTATTTGCCTGGATTGTCAGGGTTAATGTGCTGGTTTAAAATACTTCTTTTCTGAATGAGGTGTTAGTGGAGCACTTATCTCCTCCTGAATCATACCCTTTCCTGCTCTTCCTTCCTCTCCCTCTGCCAAAAGCATGAAAGGAATGACTCAGGTGTTGCTTCCTGACTAAAACATAAGGAATGTGTGGTATCAGTTTCCCAAAAAATAGAAACATGTCCAGTAGCCATTTTATTGTTTCTGAGGGGCATTTTTGCAGTGGTGTTGGGTGTACATCTCGGCTAAACACTTCTGCAAACTTTCATAATGGAGCTTAAAGCAATAAACCATAGTTTCTCTGCAATTTCTTATGTACACATGACACGGGAAACCACCGACAGCAGGATTTCATCCATGATATCATCAAGGAATTCATTTGAGGTGATATGGTGGTGAGCAGCCACGAACATCTTTGCAGGTTTCTTTTTTATAGCTGGGATTCCTTTAAACACAAGAGCTACCATCGTTTTTACAATGTCTCTGTAACTGGATGTTGTAACATCGTAGGCTTTTGGTCCAAGAAAGGTAGGGTATGTACTTTGACTAATGTAGGGTATGGCTGTGAATAATAGGTTGTGTGTAAGCCCCTTTCCATGCTTTAGAGTTCCACCCTCCTCCTGCTTTTGGTCTGAACAGTTAGATGCGTGGAAGACTTTTTGAAAAGTAGTAGGTCTGTTAGCAAACAAGCAACAGAAACTGTCCCACACATTTATTCAAACACGTTTTCTCCTCTCCTTCCTTCCAACTGAAAAAAAGGAAAACTGGGGGAGGCAGAAGAGAGGGAAGGATAAAAATATATTTACTGGAGAGTTCCTGGCAAGATGTTCTCTAACCTGTGCTGATGTGCTGTAACTTGAGATGGCAGAAGGAAAATTATGGAAGATGCCAAAATGCCATTTCCTCTGCACAAATAAGGCAGTGGTTGGATGAGTTGCTGTTTCTGAAACCTTTGTCACACCTCAGCAACCACTTTCATGTATAGTGATTAAGCAAGACTGTAGTTTCAATAGTGGATGAACTGGTTTTTAACGATAACGTGTTTTAGGGGGTTTGAACTTTTTTGGTGTGTGAAGTTTTTGTTGCTGCATTTTTTTTCCTGAAGCCATTGTGGTACTAGAAAAGCAACTATTTTCCTCTCACCATTTCCCCCCTAATAATTCTTGTGCATGATTTGGAAGCAAATAGTAGTTAATCAAAATGAAAGCAATAATCCACACATCATTAGAACCCTTTCAGCCGTGTCAAATCAATGAAGTTGCTGTAGATTGCTTCTGTGTGTTAGGCTTTCTTTTGCAAGAGGCTCATCTCAATATCTGTATTTTTTAAAAAATGCATTTTTAATAACATCATTGTCTGTATATTCTGAAAATCAGAAATCTTTGCTGCTGTTCCTGAGGCTGTTGAGGTCATCCTGTGAGCAGCAGAGGGATGAGACTCAGAAAGGCTGTGGGATTAGGCTGTGACACAGATTATATTATGGCCAGAGTCATGCAAGTTAAAATGCACATCTCCATGCTGCTTAATGGGAGAATAAGGTTTGGAACAATGGATTACAAAGGGATTAATGGCAATTAAGTTAATTGTCATAAAAAAACAATGTAAAGCTGAGGTGTTTGGTCACTGCAAATGCCGTTTTTTGGAGATATATTTATGTGCCATGCAATTTTACTGGAATGTAGGGTAACATTTTTCTTTTTTAATAGGAAGGTCGGAGATTTTACTTTGGTATAGGTTTCATCTACGTCTTATTTCCATCTCTTTCAGGATGCAAGAATATCCATTACATGCCTCAGATGTAGTGAGGAAATTGGCCAGAGCAGAACACAGGATTTAAAAGCTTTAGTGCTGGTGTCAGTAACGTTTCAAAAGTATGATGCATTTCTCCAGGCTCTAACTGCCCCTGTTTCTTTTCTTCTTGTCTAACTGTGAATTGCCAATGAGGATGACTTTGCTTCTTAGGAGTGCAAAGAAGGTTTTTAACACTGATCTAAGCTGAACCAAAACTGTTTGAAGTATCTTGAATCATAAATGTCACTTCAGTCTGCATTAATTCCTTCAGAGGGGTAATCCGAGAGCACTGTAAACCTTGAACAAGGAGGATGTGACTAGAAAGAACCTCCCTTTGTTGCATCTGCCCAGCGAAAGGCAGGGTTTGGATTATTTCTGTGTGTCACTCACAACAGACAATTACCTAACCTGTTTTGAAGGGTTTCCAGTAATGGAACTATCAGGGTCCAACCTGGTACTTCACTGCCTTATCACTGAAGAGTCTTCCTGAATTCTAATTTGAATCTTCAGTGCTGCTTTTGAGTCTGTTAATTCTTGTCCTAGCCAGCACTGTTGAAGAGATCAGATGTTCTCCTTTCTTAGAGCAACCATTTGTGTATTTGGAGGCTGGTATTCATCTCCTTGCTCTTCTTTAAACTACGCTGCCCTCTTTCAGCCAGGTTTTTCTTATCAGTCCTGATTTTAGCCCTTCTGGTCATTCTGCTTTGGACATTTATCACTTAGGCCACGTGGCTGCAGGCGTGGGGTGATGTGATACAGGATTGCCCCTTGACACCTCACCCATGCTGACCAGGGCAGGAGCAGCATGTCTGTCTCTGCAGCATTTCTGTGGCTGCTGGGCTGCACCTTGGTGCATCCCCGTGGGGTGCTCCTCTTCCTCCTGTGAGCACAAGGCCGTTGGCTCACGTTTAACTTGTGACCCCATTTAAGGCTTTTCTTTTTGTGGAATGAATGGCTGTTGGTGGAGTTGGTCTCCATGCTGCATTTGTGGAGCTTACAGTGTACAGCTGAAAATACTTGTAATGCTTTTTTTCCACACCATCCCATGAGTTTATGAATAATCAGTCTGAACCTGATCCTGTTCTTCTGCTCGTTGGCCTCTCCCAGCCTCACATCATGTGCAGATTTAATAACAGCGATCTCTTGATCCATCGTGCAGATTGCTGGTGAAGCCATTGAACAGAAGCCAGTCAAGGACAGAACCACAAGAAAGTTCTCTTAATACAGCTTCCCAATTTACCAGCGAGCCTTTGAAGGCTGCTTTTTGGGGACTCTTATTCAGCTGGCTTGGTGCAACATTCTTTCACTTTGATACAATTTTATTCATTCAATGTAAGGAAGTATCAAGACTTCCATAAGTTTTGGCTAAAACATCCATTACATCCCTTCCATCTACAAGTCCAGTGTTCCTGCTACATAAAGGAATGATGTTCAGTTTGTATGTGTCCTGACAAGTCTATGTTGGCTCTTCACAGATAACTTCTCCTGGCTTGCTTATGAGAAATCTTTCTTGACACATGAATTTAGCAGTTCTCCCAATAAACAAAACATATATCTTTGGATGTGTTATTTCCAAAATCTGTAACTTTCTGGAGTCTGAATAGCAAGGATAGTCTCGTAACTGGTCTCTAAAAGCAAGAGGTCAACCAGTCTGTTTAGGTTTCAGATAGGCAGCAAGTGACTCAGCAGAGTGAGTAACTTGCCAAGTTGGCTGCTATTGGATTTAAAGCTGAGAAAAATGTTGGACAGCGAGGACATAATTTTAAGTGTCCTGATACTTTTAGGCATTTTGTTAGTCTTGTGTGTTATTTCCTTTAATTTAAAACTCTTGGAAGGTAACATAGGGGTCACACACAAAGAGCTATTGCAGTTCAGGCTTGCCATTCACTTTGAAGTGCTGGAGCTGGAGCCAGTCCAGGATCTGTACTGTGCAAGTTGGGAACTGCACCTCGAAAGAATTGCTGAGTTTTCTGAAAAGTAAGGAACAAGGCAGTTGCATCTTCTTGCCTTCTGTTCTTCTGATGCCTGTGTAAACACTTGATAGACGTTGGTTTTACATGATAGCATTCCTCTTTTTTAGTTCTTAGGTATGGCTTAGTACACTGCATTTATTTAAAAAACAAACCACCATGGAAATTGTTAAGATAGAGAAGAAAATTTCAAACTGATTTGGCCTCAGGTAGAAAGTTTGTGTTTCTGTTCAGCATTGGAGGTATTGTGAAACTCAGGATGGAAGCTGTGGGGCCTGGTGACACGGGCCAGCTGCTTCATCTTTGCTGTATCACGTTTAAAACATGGCCTGTCTTGTTTTAGGAGCTAATTTTGTGTGTGGGTTTTTTTGAGTTACAGGGTTTGTGTTTTTTTAACCAGCTCTAATTTTGTTTGGCTGTATTTGTGAAGGGAAGCAATTGCTTTAAGCCCTAGAATTTGCCTGCCTAACAGGAAATATTTTCATGGTGTGCCACTTTCTAATAAAACCTCTCGTTTGAGCCCACAGTGGTAGGTGCTGACAGCATTTCATCCCCATAATACCATTTCTCTTTCTGGGATCCCTCCTGCCAGCAAGCTGGCCCCTGTTTCAGCACTTGTCTCTGAGGCAGCCCTGGCTTCAAGTGTGGTCTCTGCAGTGGCCCTGTGTGACCCTGTGCCATGAGTCACCGGGGGACGGGTAGTTCCAGGGATGTTGGTGTTGGCAGCTTTCCCCCTGCACAGAGTGAGGGGCTGGACGTACTGCTTGGGGAATTCACTCAGTTTCTTAGAACGTCATTCTTCAGCTTAAAAACTTGTCCCTTCTTGTCTGAAAGGCCCCACACCTGGAGGCTGCAAACACAAAAGATGCAGAAAAATCCTGAAAACTCAGAAATAGCAGGTTTTGCAGCATTAGGAACAGTCAACTCTTAAATAATGGGCAATCACATAAAGGTATAGAAAATGTAACAGCTGAGTAGATCCATGAAGGGTCTCACCTCTTAGCACAATAGCAGGAGAGCTCAGCTCTACCCAGACCTGGCTGCAGATGCTATCAGCAGCGTTCAGCTGTGCTGTGCAGAAATGGAAAATATTTTAGTGGTGAGTTAACCAGGAGGCATATCCTGATCCAGCTTTGTCACAATAGCAGATCGCTGTGGGCACTTATCAGAGTTGCTCTCACTGTGGAATTTTAACTCGGGAGCAACCTTTTTCTCTTCCTTCACAAAGAGGGTTTCTCTTTGTTCTTTGTGAAAAACAGGAGACTATTTGTCTGTTTTCCTTGGATAATATTATTAAGGAAGATAATGCTTGAGAAGGAAACAGCAGCTCAATGCTCATCGAGCACATTCTGTTTTCTTGGTTGGTTGCAGATACAGATCCTTCTGTCTCAGGTCTTGGTTTGTTCTGAATTGTCTTCCTCTCTGTTTCACATGACTTGTGGATTAAACTGGAATAAAAAACTCCAAACAATTGATTTACTTAGAGAAAGCAGAGGCTTCCTCTGTCTCAATTTATTTTTAAACGTCAGGGCTGGGGTAGGGGGAAGGTGTCTGCAGAAGAGGGTGAAAGAAGGAGCTGAGAGAGGATTTACAGCACCAAGGTACCACTCCCTGTTCTGTTTCAGCCCACGCTTTAAATTCTTTCAATGGAACAAAGACAAGCTTTTTTTTTTCTTTTTTTTTTAGCCTAAGGTGAATCATGTTTGGAAAAATTTAGTTATACTAAAGAAAATAATAGAATTTAAGCCCTAATGTTTTTGGAGCTGCTGTTGGTGAGCTAATAGCCATAGCCTGTTTATAATGTAATTGCATAGCTCTCTAAATTACAGCAGACTTCTTCATTAAAAAAGGAGGAGAAAAAAGTAAATCCCTAAAGCCATGTCTGCATAACTGTAGCTCAGCAATGAAAGCTTCATTTATTTAAACTTCTTCTTTTTACGTAATTGTGGATGGTTGACTGGAAGGAAGCCAAGTCCAAACAGAGTGTAGCTGGTGCTGTTACTCCCAGCTGAATCTGTAAGTGACCTGAAACTGTTCTGCATTTTGCAACTGTTCTGAGGGCTCTGTGATACTGATACCTCTGCAAGTCAAGGATGCAATGATGTAAATGTCACCATCATTAACTCTTCCATTACTGACTTTGGAAGTACTCATTGAGGAAATGCACTGCGTTGGGTGCAGGTGCACATCCCTGGGGTGATGTTGGTAACACTACTGGGAAGGGAAACAAGGAACATGAAGCTAATCTCCACTGCTAAATTCATGTTCATCAGATGAAAGATTAAGTTATCTCCTGGGCATTGAAATCTGCAACTCTTTGAGGCTGGAAAGTTGTACAGCAGCCACAGAAAATGCATGGGTAAATAACAATAATAATAATAATAACAATAATAATAATAAACCAAACCAAACAAACCAGCTGATGTAGATTAGCATCCTTTCCTAGTCACTACAGTAGTTGCTTTTGACGTTATTATTAAACAATCAAATACTGATTATGATTCTTTTTTGTATTTCAAAGTTGATGTTTTCTCAGTCTGCCCACACAGGCAGTGAAGATTGCTGTGCACGGTGCTCTGACTCTCTATCCCTCGCTCTCGGTGAGGGTCACAACAAAAGAGAACTTTGCACTGGATGTCCTGGCTTTCAGGGTCTTGTGATTGGCTCTTACTGCTTTCTCCTAAGGGATCTTGAAGCCAGAGCACAGAATGAATTCTTTCGGGCCTTCTTCAGATTGCCCAGGAAGGAGAAGCTGCATGAAGTTGTAGACTGTTCTCTCTGGACGCCGTTCAGTCGCTGTCACACGGCGGGGAGGATGTACACTTCAGACAGTTACATCTGTTTTGCCAGCAAAGAAAATGGCTGCTGCAATGTTATCATCCCACTTAGAGAGGTAGAGTTGTTTGTTTACTTCATTTCGGGTTCTTATCTGCCTGTTTCTGCCATAAGCATCCAGTGTCACTTGACTTATCTGCAAAGTATCGTTTGATGAAGAAGAGTAGGATGCTGGTGTGTGTTATGCCTCCAGGACTGTCATAAAGCTTACTCTGGGACTCATTAGGGCATGAGTTCCTAAAAGTACAGGTGACTCAATATGATCCTCAAAATGAAGTGTGGAGAGGTAATGCAGCAGGACAGAGCATTGCAAAAGCAGAGTCTTCTCAGTCCAAGACTCAGACAGGGCTCCCCTCTCAGCTCCACAGATGTGTCCATCCAGCTGTGTGTTGATGGAGACTTCACTGTGGACCCATTTTAAAAAGCATCCTTGCCTGGGATCAACGCTTAGAAGTGTTGAAACTCTCCCTCTGTAGACAAACTCTAGCAAACTTGTGAATACTTTGCAAAGCTGTAGAGCAGACAGAAAAGGGGCTGTTCTGGATCAGTGACAAGCTGCCAAATTTCCATGAAATCAGAGACTCAAGTGGAGGGAGAGCGCATGGGAAGGTGGTGGGAGTAGAAGAGGAGAAGGAAGCTGTCAGCAAACACCTGCCTGATCTGCTGTGGATACAAGGCTGTTATGATCTCTTAATTAAAGCTTTCCTTTCATCCTCAACTAATAACAGAGTAACATCCAAATGATATCCTAACTGTAGCAACTTACCTTCCACAGTTACAGAAATGAGAACAGTGTTGTATATACTTATTCAGAAACAACGGAACAACTGTTTCCCCATCTTCAAGAGTGTGACATTTCCACCTCCATCCCCTAGAATTTGATCAAGTTTATCCTTTAGTAAATCTTCTCTTAATCCTACTCCCCTCTCTTATCTTTCCTATCAGTCCACTCTCCAGACATGGGCCACAAAGTCCTTTAAAAACCAAAAAAAAAAAAGGAAAAAAAGTAATCTATCATAATTTTGGTGCCTGCTTTGAGCTTCTAAAGAGAGTGTGAAGAAGTGGTAGAATGTATCTAATCAAGGAAAACCAATATGAATAACCATGTTTAAAGCATGTCTGCATATGAATGCTGTGTTTGTACATTTTGGTACATGTAGAATATTTGATGATGTTTCTGTGGCTGTGGTGCATTATGTGTTTTCTGTAATGTTTCTGGCAAAGGTAATCAGTATAGAGAAGATGGAGGACACCAGCCTTCTCCCTAATCCCATCATTGTTAGCATAAGGAGCAAGACAGCCTTTCAGTTCATTGAGCTGAAGGAGCGGGATGCTTTGGTGGAGAACCTGCTGCAGAGGCTGAAAGCAGTGAACTCCAGCCACGCAGTGCACTCCAACAACTTGCAAAATAAGAACCAGGTACTCAGCTTCTGAGGCTATTTTGGGGTATGAATTCAACATGTTTATCCATAGGTCCCTTGTCCTGCCTTCCTTAGAGGGCTGATCTTACACCAGTGCTGCCTGATGCCTTCTTTAAAGACCTGCCTGACGGGATGGAGCACACCCACAGCATGGTTGTGATTGACACACTGTGGGGCACAGTGAATAAGGGCTGCCCTTCATGGAGACCTCAGCAATCTGGAGGAATGGTCTGATAGAGACCTCATAAAATTCAAGAAAAGCAAATGCAAAGCCTGGAAGAGTAACCCCATGCAACAGGAGGGGGCTGGGGGCTGGCTGGCTGGCGAGCAGCCATGTGGAAAAGGTGGAGGGATCATGGTGGACAGCAGATGGAGCATATAAAACAGCAGTACACTCTCACAGTGAAGAGGGCCAACAGCATATGGGGTTGTGCTAGCAGCACTGGAACCAGCAGGTCAAGGGTTGTTACTATTCCCTTTTATTTAGAACTTCTGAGGCTGATCAGGAGTACTGCGTCCAGTTTTGACTCTGCCCCACCACACAAGAAAAACATTGACAAACTGGAGTAAGTCTAGTGGAGGGCTAGAAGATGGTCAGGAGCTGGAGCACCTGCTTCATGAGAAGAGGCTGAGGGAGCATGGCTTGTTCAGCCTGTGTTCCACTAGCTAATAGGGAGTTACAGAGAAGATGGACCTAGGCTTTTCTTGGAGGTGCCAGCTGAAAGACAAGTAGCAACAGCCCCATGATGCAGCAAGGGAATATCTGAATAGATAAAAGAGAGAGATTTCCTCTCAAGGGTGGGCAGAGCTGGACCAGACTGCCCAGGGAGACTGTGGACTCCTCTTCCTTGGAAATGCTCAACTTGACTGGACACAGCTTTCAGCAACCTGGTCTGAGGGGCTGTTCTTTGAGCAGGGGATTGAAAAAGTTGGTCCCCTCCAAACTAAATTGTACTTGATTCTGTTTTTCAAATTCTAACCAAAGTCAAAACTTGTTTGGCAGCTTGTCATCAAGGACACTTAGAATTTACTAACAACTCCTGTGTTAAAGTAACAACCCTTTTCCTGACATACAATAGAATGATAATTTGTGTGAAGTCTTGAGTCAGGCTTTTCCTCCTGAAAGGTCTGAAAGGTTTTGATGCAAAAGGCAAAGGCTAATCCAGCTTTGTGTCTTGAAGACAGTTAAGGATGGTTACTGCTTTGATCCTGTGTTGCAGAACAGTCCTACCTTTGGATCCATGTGTGTGCTCAGGGATGGTGAACCTGCACATCTGGGAACAGAGGCTTCACAAGGCAAGGAGAGAAGTGAATGTGGAAAGGAGAACAGTTACTTGCTCAATGCAGAGGCACTAAGGTCAGACTTTCATCAGTCAGGAACGGCAGGCCTTGATTTTGGAAAGGTATGTAACATTTGGGGGAAGTTGTAGGAGTTTGGGGCCTGCCTTTTTTTTAAGCTAAGGTGACATTCAAACAGATACTCCTTTTTCATAACATGAACTCTCTGTTGGCTGGAGAAGTTAGACATGGGATAACAGCTTTTCTATTTGCGTGGAGTATTTTCTTCTCCACCACCTGCATTTTGTTCTGGTGAATATTTATAATTTTTCTTCCTGTGTTGTGAATTGTATATGCAAAATGAGGAAAGCTGTAGTCCTTTGAGCAGATTTCCCCTTTCCACTGGAAATGAAAATAACCTTGCGGAATTTAATACAGAAAATGCTGCTGTTTACCAGTTCTCACATACACATGATTTGTTCTTTTAAAATACACCTTCTTGTTCCCAGTCTAGGGAGCAAATCAAGGAGAGCCTGTGGGCTGACCACTTTGTAGAATATGGCAGAACCGTGTGCATGTTTCGCACAGAGAAGATCAGAAAACTTGTTGCTATGGGAATCCCTGAATCTTTAAGAGGCAAACTCTGGCTGCTCTTCTCAGGTGAGCACGCTTAGACGCGTTGGCTGTAGGCACCATCTGGTTCTGAACATGGCAAAACATTTAGGCAAGAAATCTCCCAAGGGCAATTAAATGTCGCTTATGTGGAGCTTCTGATACTGCTTACAGAATAGAGATGATCTGATCTGAGCTAATAATTGCAAGAAAGATCCTAGGTAGGTCTGTAAAAATTTCATCTCAGGATAATATGACATGATGTGCAGAAGAACTGAAGTAACATTTTTTTCTTCTGTGTAATTTAAATTAAAATTGACATCATGCTTTCATAAAATAATGTTCATCTTCAAGCAACAATTAGATTGTAGGATAAATATTGATTTAACCCTAGACAAATTGAATTATTGCAAAATAATGACGACTTGAAGTCAGCAGTCCTTCTTCAGCTTCTTAATGAGTGTTTGCAGGGGTAATAGAAACTAGAGATGGAAAAAACAACCCATTTCATCCACATATCTGGCGGAGCCAGAATGTGCCGATCTTCTGCTGGCCACTTCCCTGACTAGGAAGGATATTATCATTAATGGGAAACACATCAGCCAAATCCCTCCCTCTGGTCTTAGATCACATGCAAGAGATCCAAGGTGGACCACCACTGGAGGAATGAACAGACTAATGTATTCACTTATGACACATGATGTAGCAAAGAAGGGAGCAAGTTAATTCCAAAACCAGGCTATGGGGGAAGGAAGGACCCAGGCGATCAGTCAAGTCCCAATCATATAGTAAGTGCCAGGAGAAAGCCTCATAATTCCTCTCATGTCTCAGTCTTGTCCTGACATTACTGAGAACTCTTCTTACTGTGGAGAATCATAGAATCATAGGGGTTGGAAGGGACCTCGAAAGATCATCTAGTCCAACCCCCCTGCCAGAGCAGGGTCACCTAGAGTACATCACACAGGAAGGCGTCCAGGCGGGTTTTGAATGACTCCAGTGCAGGAGACTCCACAACCTCTCTGGTGAGCCTGTGTGAGTCAGGGAGCCCTTTCAGTAACCAGAACCCTCACACAGCATGTGCATTGTACAAGCAGACCTCCCAGCCCCACTGCAAGCAGAGACAGCTCTTATAGGGATGGCTTCTTGCCCCACCCCCAAGTTAATGTGGCAGGTGGGGGCACCTGGTGGTGATCTCCTCATCAGTTCCTACCCAAGGCTGGCCAGACCCTGTGTGAAAACCCGTCAGGAGGGGCTTTCTTGCCTGGTTGTGGACATCATCCATATGCCAACCCTCATTCAGGGATGGGGGTTTAACCCCAGCACTTCAGCCTACAATGTAATAAGTTTAGTCTATAATCCAGTATATGACGTGTTCAGACATTTGTAGAAGCTGTCGCTTCATGTGGAGTTTTTCGTCCTCGGAGGGTGTGAACAGCACCAAGCACGTATCTCCCAGTAATAAATCTGGCTGGGAAGATGGCTGCTCACTGTCGATCCTGAGGTGTTTTGGATGACGCTGTGTCAGGCAAGCTTGGCTGCTCTTATTTTCACTAAGCTTACCGTCGCCCTAACGCGCTCGTGCCTCCCTCTGCCCCCTGCCCGCGGCGCGGCCTGCAGACGCCGTGACGGACCTGGCCTCGCACCCCGGCTACTACGTGCGTCTGGTGGAGGCGTCCATGGGCAAGTGCTGCATGGCGACGGAGGAGATCGAGCGGGACCTGCACCGCTCGCTGCCCGAGCACCCCGCCTTCCAGAGCGAGACCGGCATCGCCGCCCTCAGGAGGGTGCTCACGGCCTACGCCCACAGGAACCCCAAAATTGGCTACTGCCAGGTGACTGGTGCCCCGCGGGATGACGGGCGGTGCTGCTTCCCCTCTTCCGCTCTCCTGATCCTTCCCTTGGGAGTGGTTTTAGTGGTGGTTTGGTAAATAAAGTCCTTTTAGTTATGAAGACGTTGCTGCTTCCCCTCTTCCGCTCTCCTGATCCTTCTCTTGGGAGTGGTTTTAGTGGTGGTTTGGTAAATAAAGTCCTTTTAGTTATGAAGACGTAATTTTAGATGTTAAGAATCATTTACTCTGGAAAATAAGTGCATAAGCTTGACAAAAGGCTCTGGCTTAACAAAAGTATTCCCTCAGCATTTTGCAAACTTCATTTAGGGTTAAGGAAGGGGGGGAAAGTGTTTCTGATGCTTCTCTCAGTCCAAAAGTGCCTTTCTTACACAGTTCTGGGAGGCAGTGCAAAGTAAACTGGCTTGCACAGATAAGATTCACATAGAGCACTGGAGCAGAGGTTTAATGCACTTAAGAAGAGGAGAAGAGGTTAATTCTGCCCCTTTCTTCCAAAACTGATGACAAATTATGAAAGTACTTTGCCTAACTGCCCAGATAGAATAACTTTATTTTCTGTGCAGCTCTCTGAATTTTCATTAACTTCAGACCATTCCAGATACAAGAAAGGGTGAAAAGTAGCCCCAGTTTTTGACTCTGTTACCTACTTTGTATCTAGGCAAATCCAATACTGTGCTTTTCTATATTGTTTCCTATTGCTCTTAGGAAAAGCAGCATACATAAGGCTAAAAATCTCGTTATGCCTTTGGGTTGCAGTTGTGTATTTGCTGTCTTTCTGGTTGTTTACGTCACATTAGGTTACCTTTCTTTCTTTAAAAATAGCCACAATTTAGCTTTGGTTAGTAGGCTTTGCTGTTACTAACAAATCCCATTTTCTTCTTTGCCCTTGCAAGTCTATGAATATTTTGACCTCCGTGTTGCTGTTGTATGCAAAAGAGGAAGAAGCCTTTTGGCTGCTGGTTGCTGTGTGTGAGCGAATGCTGCCAGATTACTTCAACCACCGAGTGATAGGTGAGTTCCTGTCTCTCTTCTTGCTAACTGGGAAGGATTAAATTCCAAATGGAACTGGGGTGAGTAAAATGCTCAAGGTCTTCTGAGGTCCAGATCCCATGGGAGAGGTGGTCCATGACTTGTGCAGTGTGCAGGGGCAGCAGTGGTGGCTGCTCAGGTTCCAGCTAGGGTTGGTTTTGGTTTAAAGGGTTTGAACTGCAAGAACTATAAATACATGCTCAACTTTACAGCATCTCTTGGGTTTTTTTTCCTGTTGAACAGAAGGCGGTGGCACTTTTGCCTGTTAGGTGAAAATAGAACTTGTATATCTTGCTTAGTAGCATTCAGTATTAGAGACTTGAGCTGTTTAAGATGAACCTAAGAAAGATCTACTAGTGTAGCTATTTCTGGTCTGCCCTGCCCGCATTGCCTGGCTTCTGGAGTATTTCAGGCTTGCATCTGAACTGGCCCTTTGTAATGAGGGCTGATACAAACCCTTCTGAACATGAGATGCTGCCTTAAGAAAAAGCCTGGTCCCTCTGCAGTGCGTGCTGCATGTGCTGCTTCTTGTTCTTTGCAGTGCAACTATTTTTAAGACCATTGTGCAGGCACCTGCTTAATGCACAGAAAGAGAGAGGCTGAGCAGGTTGATGTGGTAATTGTGGGTATGCACAAGAAAGAGTATTTGTTCTTTGCAGCCCCTTCCACCTCTTCTAGAAACGTTTGATAGCTTTTCCCTCTTTCAAGCTAAGTTTACTCTCTAGCTACAGTGTCTGCTGTTACACCATCACCATAGCAGAGGGAAGGATCAGGCTCACTTGTGAGGTGGTGGGGATAGGAGGAGATCCCTGGTGGCAGAGGTTCTGGGAGCTAGAAATGGTGTGGGCACTCTTGTGCTGTCTGGGGAGCAGGAGGAGACATCGGAAGTTCTCCAGTGTTTTGCTTGGAGGGTGGGACTGTCATCCCTCCCTCCTGATACTCTGCTGCTGCACAGTTCTTGTCTGTCACTGGACTGGCAGGCAAGGTAAGCTAAAGCAGAGTTATTCCAAAGTTAGCTGGATGCTTAAGGAGTTCTGTGGGGCTTTGATTTACATGTGTGTTTTTAGCTAGTGGATTGGGCACAGTGACTGTCCCACTTGCCAGAATTTTGTTTCTTGTCTCCAAACATGACTTTGAACTGCTATCTTGATGGCTTACTTCCATGTTAGTCTCTCTCCTTCCTTAATTAAAAAAATAATTTATCAGCTTTATCTGTCCTTGTGCATGTCTAGATATCATCAGCCTTCCTTGAGTTACTGATAACTTTGGTGCTTGCTGGGTTATTGCCCTTAAGTAGCATTCTCCACACACAAGCAAACTGGAGTTATTGCACTTGGCTGGCCATATCACTGCCTGAGTTGTACTTGATTTTGTTTTTTTTATCTTGCCTGTCACTCTATAGCTACAGCCTATATTGTTTGAGTGCTGATAGTCTTGATTAACCTGTCTCTCTGTTTTCCTGCCCTCTGTACCCAAAAGAAAGAGTACCATGACTGTAGCAGAGGTACTGCCATGGCTCACCACAGTGCAAAGAGCCAGGGACTTCAGCTCACAAGTTCCCCTGCTCCCCCTAGTCGAAGAGCAGCAGTGTAGTTTTGCAGCATGGTTGCTTCACTGAGCAGTTAATTCTGTGGCTTTGATTTATCCTGGATCTTAGTGTGCCCAAATCAGTGCTACTGATCTTCTCTAGCCTGCCTCTCCTCTGGTTCCTGTTGCTTGAGTTAGTGTTCTTTGCTTCACATTTCACTTGACCTTCTTTTTGATTTGCAACCAGCTCTTATCTAAACTTTGTATTGTTTCTTCCTGTGTAACTCTTCCAAGGCTCAACTTTTTCCTCTTTGTCCACAGTGCCAACACTGTTGTCCAGATTTTGATCTCTCTATAACTTTGGTGATCCCTGACCTTGGTACCCATCAATGTGCTTTTCCTCTTTAGCATTAGCCAGTAATGTACTGTCAAAACAGCTACTGAATTGATGACCTTGGTTATAACAGGCCTTCTTCTTTTTAAAACTATATTTATTTATTTACTTATTTTATAATGTAGGCATTTCAGTCCTACTTAACCTTTTTACTTTTATCACATGACCATTTCCATCCTTCCTCAGAAATCTACCTGCTTGACTTTCGTCAGTGTCAACACTTAATTATAATATCACCTTCTGTAAAAGATCTCAGCAGCATTGCACATTTATTTTAAACCTCTGCTTTTGCCAGTCTTTGCTGTGCTGCCTCTGAGCCTAGAATGACCTTTTTATATGTGTGTGCCTATTTGTCTCTGGCTTCCTTCAAACACCCCCTAAACCAGCTGCATTATTTTGGTCTATGTTAACTGACTATTAAACTGTTTGTGTTAAGCTTGTTAAAAGAAAAATAAACAAAAACCTGCTTTCTGTTGAGTAACTCCAGTCTGTTTTCTCCTCTGTTTTCTTTACCCTTCTTATTTATGACCATCTGATGTGAGAAGGCTATCTCTTCAAAGCAAAGCATCATGCTTGATGTATTTCACAAAAGCACTTTGCATGTCCCTGGGCACTTATTTTTTATCTGTGGTGCTGTAATGTTTGTTCAGCCACCAGCAGAAGCTCTTTGTGGCTTGATGTGAAAAGTTCTAAGACAGAGAAATGTCACAGCTGTTCTGTTGGCTTTTTTTTTTTTATTATGATTTTGATGCAAAGCCAAAAGATGCTGGCTCTCTGCCACAAATTGTCCAGGTTATATTCTGCTTTTGGACAACAGAAGTTTTGAGTGCTAAGGGTATATATGTCTCAGGAATTTCATAGCAAATAAAACTGTCTCCATAGCAAATAAAAGTGTCTTAATATTGGCATAATATGGACTATGAGAAATGAAATAATCTGAAAGACAAAATACTTGAAAAACTAACTGCATTTTACATTCAAGAACATTTTTAACTACTAGAGTCTTTGGTTAAAGCTCCTGATGTGGCAGACCTGGTTTGTAGACACAGGCCACTTCAATGATATAAAACTGTACTGATTCTGCAATAGCTGCTGACAAAGCAGGACTGAGCTAGTAGCTGAAACAGAGCCTAGATATGCTGCTTTTGAAAAGACTGCTTGGGGTAGTTAGGAAAGCTTGTACCTGGGCATTGAAGAAATATTTTTTCTTAAAATACATATATATATATATACACACACGCACGTAAGTAGATATTTATGTATGCACATGTATTTATGTGTAAATCTTTTTCTGCCTGCTTAGTGTGTGTAGCTATATCTGGATTTTCATCTGACATTTTCTTAGCTAGAATGAAAGCTCTGCTGCCCGCTTGCTTGAGTGCATACTCTGGAGAGGAGCGTGTACTGTCTTATTTTCATTGCATAGATCCCAAGTCGAGTGCTAAAATGCTTTAAGATTGCTTTTGCTAGTGCTTAATTACTATGTGCTCTTTTAACCAAACCCAACTGCTGCTGTTACTATTTCATTGCACTGTAAAGGCTCTTAGCAGAACCAACACAGTCTTTTTGCAAAAAGTTGTACAGTAAGGGTTATGGACATGAGGGTTGGGGCTCAGGTCACAGTAGGAGGATAATGGGATTTTTTGTTGTAGATGTGTGTGTATCTTGTCAGTTTAGAGTAAAAGAAAGTCTTACAGTTGTAAATTGACAGCGATCATGAGCTTTAAAGAATAATTTTCCTGCATCAGTCCTGGCTAATACTGTTTCTTTGTCACTTGCAGGTGCTCAGGTAGACCAGTCGGTGTTTGAGGAGCTTATAAAGGAGCAGCTTCCAGAGCTGGCTGAACATATGAAGGATCTGACAGCGTTAGCTTCCATCTCTCTTTCCTGGTTCCTTACCCTTTTCCTTAGCATCATGCCCCTGGAGAGTGCTGTGAATGTTGTGGACTGCTTCTTCTACGACGGGATCAAAGCCATTTTCCAGCTGGGCTTGGCCATACTGGAAGCCAACGCCGTGGATCTGTGTAACAGCAAGGACGATGGGCAAGCCCTGATGATCCTGAGCAGGTACGGCCACGCAGCAGTGCTCCTTCCATCACAGACAGTCCTGCCGTAAAACAGAGGCATTTGGGTGCTGTTGTGATACCAACAGGGCTCTGTAGGCACCAGTGGGACCCTCCGTGCTGCCTTGCTGCTGCTTTCACAGCCTCTGCCTTAAACAATGGGCTTTGCACCTCAGAGGAGTAGATGTCCTGTGAGACTTCCTGGCAGCGCTGAGACACGCATCCACTGCGTCAGCGTGCAGTATGTACTGCTGCTCCTCGTGCCTTCCCTAGAGTGATGGGCTTCCTGCTCCAGACTTCAAGGAGACAGAAGTTTTCTTTCTTGGGCAGCATTTAGTCATTTAGCTGGCTTGCCGTTCTTTGGATGAGTTAATCATAAAGGTATTTTTGCAAAGCCAAGCAGCCTGAAAAACAATTTATTTCTAAGTCTGAGCCATAAGACTTGTTTACTTATTTATATTGAGAAAAGCAGAGTGCAGAGTAATCCATGTTGCTTATATTTCTTCCCTTCAGGTTTTTAGAGCATGTGAAAAATGAGGAAAGCCCTCTGCCACCTATTGGTAATCACCACGCGTTCTTCAGCGACGACCAGGAAGCCTCTCCAGTGACTGAAATTGCTAACCTGATTCATGACTCCTATGAGGTAAGATACTGCTTCTCTGGGTCTGCTGGTCAGTTAAGCTAGAACGTTTAAAAAGAAGGTGGTTAAATTCCACATGGATCTTTTGAAAATTAATACATGTCTTTAGAGATTCCTTGACTAAGCGCTCAAATGCACAAGGGGAGAGGTGTAGTACAAATACCCAGTTACAGACTGGGTATACTTTTTCTTCAAGGACTCCCAGTACTTTAAAATTTTTATTTCTAGTAAATGAGCAATACATGTTTCATAAAATGCTATAAAAATAACAGACTTCTGTTTCTCTGTGGTAGAAATTTGGAGACCACTCTGTGGCACAGATAGAGCACATGCGCTACAAACACCGGATCCGTGTCCTGCAGAGCCACGAAGACACAACCAAGCAAAATGTGGTGAGTGGAGTATTGTTTCAACTGAGGTAGCCTAACATCTCCACCCTGGGGGCAGATGGCTTTTGTTTTTCAAAAGGCACCACCAGACCTTGAAAAACCATTAACTGACTGCAGAAAGCTCTTTCCTGGGATGCTGATGGGTTTAGTTTTTCTTTTGCAGCCATGTGCATTATTTTCTACAGTGGTTATAATGTTAAGAACAACTGCAGGAGCATCCAGCCCAGTGCCTTGTCTCTGACCATGGCCCTGGGCAGATGTCTGGGGAAGAGTTTGAGAGGGAGCTGATGTGATCCTTCCCTGACCTCCTGTGGCCTGTAGCTTAGGGACTTCCTGTGTTTGTTTCTAATAGCCTTTGGGGGATTTATTTTTTCACGAATCTGCCCAACCGCTGAACGTAAAGAAGAGGGGAAAATGGCAAAGGTTTTTCAGTACTGTGGCTTTCAGTTGTACGACATCAATAGGACAACTGCAGGACTCGTTGGCTTGAGTCAGTGATGACAGGAAAAAAGATAGTCACTAACATGTTTTTTTGTTATTTTTCAGCTCCGAGTTGTCATCCCAGATGTTTCGATTCTTCCAGAAGATTTAGAGGAATTGTATGACTTGTTCAAGGTGGGTCTCCCTGAAATGTAGGGTATGCACCTTTTTGAGGCTTCTGGGCCTAACTTCCAGCTGTCGCTTTGCAGAGCTGTCTCAGGCCTCCTGTCCTCTTACTGTTCAGGTGGGATCTTGTCATTTTGTCCTTCCTGTGGTTGCCCAGTTGTTAAAGAACTGATCCTTCAAAGGAAAATCGATTCAGAATTTCCTTTCTAACTTGCTGTTTGGAAATGGTCCATGAGAAATTAGGTTCTGGTAACTTCACATGCAGAATAAATTAAATCATAAGTAGCTGCTCACTGGGAGCTCTGCAGTACTTGTAAGTCTTGATCCCTTAATACTCTTTAAAGGAAAACTCTGTTTTGCTTGGGGGAAGACAACCCCACAAACTTGTGTCCTTGCTATTTGTTCCAAATTTTCTAATAGTTTTTCTTTTAGAACTGAAAGCAATTTTTACTAAAGTTCTTTTCTGTCAAGCTGATGTTTGAAAGAAATATTTTAGAAGTTATTTGGAGACAGGGACATCTAAGTTTATCCAACTATACTTGGTTTAGAGGTCCAAGCATGTAATTATTGCCCTTAATGGACCATTTGTTTTGTGTATTGTTCATAGCCATAAATAGTAGGTACTGAGAATATGGCTCTGGTGTGTTCTTAGTGTTATGTAGCCGTGGGGCTAAGAGCAGCTGTATCATCCTTCCACTAGTGGCTGTCAGATGATGCTGCTGGTGCTTGCTCTGCAGCACTTCCCTCCTGTTCCTTGCTGCTCAGTTTTGGAGCTTGGTCTGGCTTGCACTCCTCCCCTTCCCTCGTTTTGTTTCTTGGTGCTGGTTCCTTTTTCATTAGCTCCCTTGCTCCCCTGGGACAGCTCATTTTGTTAGGACACTGTTTTGCATGAGCCTGTCCCTAAGGGAAGGCCAAGAAGGCCAGTATACAAATTAAGAGGCCTGAGAGAGAATAAATGAGCAGGTCAAGCCCGTGTAACGCTTGCCCTGGATTTCCTCTGATCCTTTGTACTCCTGGATTTCCTCTGATCCTTTGTACTCCTGGCTGGTTAAGAGACATCCTGGGCCAGATGCGGCCAGTAGAGTTTCAGTAGCTTGCAGTGAATTTCTTCTAAGAATCTGCCCAGTCTCCCTTCAGGTGTGTTAACTGTCCACTGGAAATGGTGAGAGCCCCTGGCTGCTCCAGCTGAAGACTCCCACTTTGCTGTTCTGGCAGAGAGGGCCTGGGTGTGGCCATAGCACCTCACGCAAAGGGTGTTCTGGGTGCTCCCAGCCCCCCTGCACTGGGGAGCGCTCTCTGGCGCCCACTGCAGTGCCCCCTCATTTCTCAGCCCCCCTGCACTGGGGAGCGCTCTCTGTCACCCACCGCAGTGCCCCCTCATTTCTCAGCCCCCATGGACTGGGGAGTGCTCTCTGTCACCCACCGCAGTGCCCCCTCATTTCTCAGCCCCCATGGACTGGGGAGTGCTCTCTGTCACCCACCGCAGTGCCCCCTCATTTCTCAGCCCCCATGGACTGGGGAGTGCTCTCTGTCACCCACCGCAGTGCCCCCTCATTTCTCAGCCCCCATGGACTGGGGAGTGCTCTCTGTCACCCACCGCAGTGCCCCCTCATTCGCAGCCCCCCTGCACTGGGGAGTGCGCTCTGTCACCCACCGCAGTGCCCCCTCGTTTCCCAGCCCCCCTGGACTGGGGAGGGCTCTCTGGGGAGTGCCCTCTGGCGCCCGCGGCAGCGCCCCCTCTCGTTTCTCGCAGAGGGAGCATTTAATCCGGTGTTACTGGGAGGTGACGAGCCCGGTGGCGGAGCGGCACGACCCCAGCCGGCCCTACGCCGCGCAGGACCGCATCGACGCCCCCCCAGCCTGTACCGGCTGCTCTCGCCCTGGACCTGCGGGGAGCACACCGACCTGCTGGCCCACAGGACCTTCCGCCTCCTGGACGAGAACATGGACCGGCTGGTGGAGTTCAAGGGCTTCGCCGGCTGCTTAGG